GGCCGGGGCAGCGGCCGCGGGGGAGCTGCGTGCCCAGCGCCGCCCCCCGTGTGCGCCAGCGCGCCAGGTCTCTGCCCCACGAGGGTCGCAGCCGCGGCCGGAGGTTCCACCGGACCCCGGCTAAGGGGGAGCCGAGCCAAGGTGCCGGAGGAGAAGGCCGCGAGCGCGGGGCTGAGCCCGGGCTGGCCCCGGCTGCTCCCGCGGGCTGACGCCGGGCCCCTGCCCTGCCCCTTGCTCCCCCCTTCCCGAGGCCCTTCCCAGCATGAAGGACTATTACTCGGTCTCCATGCCGCGGTACGCCAGGAGGTGGAGAGCCGCGCGCACCGTGCACTTTCCCAACGACGTCCTCTTTCAGGACCACATCAAGCAGGGGGACCTGGAGCAGGTGGGCAGGTTCATCCGTACCAGGAAGGTCACTTTGGACACCATCTACCCCTCCGGTGAGTGCTCCAGCTGGGCAGCGCCGGAGCTCGGCCGGGCGGCGGGGGAGACCACGGGAGCGTTGAGGCCGCGGTGCCCTGTGGGGCAGCAGGCCCAGAGCCAGTCGTCCTCCTGCCCCACGCGGGGTCTGGGGAGGCTGTCACAGTCCCAGCAGCTCCCTGGGCACTGTGGCTAACGCACCTGCAGGACGGGGCACCTCGGCCCGGGTCCCGGCGGCGGGAGGCTGCACCGGCAGCGTGGTGGGCCCGGGGAGATGGCGTCAGGAGTGACAGGAGAGCAGGGGCTGGGGCTGGGCAGCACAGGGGACATGTCCCCTGCCCGGCCTCGGAGGGCAGCAGGGAGAGGCCGCGCTCGGGGTTCGTCCCCCTCGGTTTCCCACAACCGCTGCTCTCTCCCCGGTGCCTGCCCGTGCTGCGGCTGGGGCTGGGACGCTGCAACGCGCCCCCATACGGCATCGCTCGACCATCCATATCCCCATCCATGTCCCCATCCATGTGCCCATCCTGCGTCGCGGCCTCAGCGCCACCGCTGTGGGGACTGTGCCAGGGCCTCAGGGGACCCTGGGTTGCACCGGTGGCTTCGCTCCTGGTCTGTGGGGAGCTCGTGGAGCTGGGGCCAAGTGGGACCATGCGGCTCATCCAGGACCTGGCCTGGGGCTGGGCAGGGACCCCGTGTGGGCCCCCATCCACGTGGGAGTGGGAACCGCATCCCGTGGTGAAGCCCTCTGCTCCCCAGCGGGACCGCCCTTGCCCGGGGACTCACGGCCCTGTCCCCAGGCATGGCGGCGCTGCACGAGGCCGTGCTCACCGGGAACCTGGACTGCGTCAAGCTCCTGGTCAAGTACGGAGCCGACATCCACCAGAGGGATGAGAACGGCTGGACGCCCCTGCACATGGCGTGCAGCGA